AAAAAGGACCTCTCTTCATCAGTCTCTTCTGCTTCCATGTTGCTGTTGTATGTTCTACAAGTCTCACGTTAGCGTGAATCCCTGCACTTATCCCCAGTGCACTAATATTTTTTTTTTTTTTTTTTTTTAGATCTTGAATATACTGTAGAATAATTTGAAGGGAAGTAGGGTCAAAATTTCTGTATCTTGCAGACTTCATGCCAAGCTTAAAAGCTGGAGACTTTATCTGATGTTTATGAACTAACTTTAAAAAAAAGTAAAATAATAATAATCTTTTAAAAGAGATGATTGATCGATCTGACCTGAAGATTTCTTCAGGAAGCTCGTCTGGTACTATAGCTGTCTTGGATTAAACTAGAAATTCTAAGTACATTTTCTTCTATTTACTTGTGTAAATTTAAGTGTATTTACTTAACCTACTACATTAATTTCCTGTCTTCTAATACAATCTGTTTAATGCCAGTCTTTTTTTAGCTTAGCATCTAATAAAGTTTTTTTCTGATTTGCTGATAGTATGCCAAAATCTGGTGGTAAATGATGTGGAAAGCGTTTTTAATACATATATTGCTACAGTGCCAGTAGATGGCACTAAAACAAAGACTTGCTTAAAACCTTCCAAGGAGTGATATATTGATTGTGCACAGAGTTCTTGGAATTGCAAATTACAAAACTAGTTTGTTTTACTGTCGTATTTTTTTCTATGTATATTTTAGCCATTTTTAATGAAAAAATGTGTAGTCTTTCATTTAAGATAAATCCTAGCTGCACAAGAAATAATCAAATTTTCAAATGTCATAACATTTTAATTATGGCATATGTATTTTTACCTTCCAGTTCTTCTAATAACCCAAGAGTTTTGTTACCATACTACTTACTGTATTGTAAACTATGTTCAGGCAACTGTAGAAATGCAGCTAGTGTTTGGGGATTGGAAAGTGGTGACTGACAGCTTCACAGCATTTTCTTGGTCAGGAGAGGACAAGTCGCTTGTTTTTAGTTAGTCAACAAAATACATGTCTTTGCATGGTACTGAGTGGTGATTGTGTGGCAAATGTGGTTGACTTATTCACTTTTTTCTAACCTTTAAGTAATTTCCAAGAGCAGGCAGACAATAAATTACTGAAGGTCTGTAAGCTAACTTAATATCTTAAAAAAAGTTGCTACAGCTTTCCTTTACTAATAAGTGTCACCTGCTAGCTTTATAAAGCTCTTTTGTGTATTGCCATCTTTTTAAAAAATACTGCATAGATTTGCAATAGTGGTCTGACAATGATAAATACATTTAAATAATAAGGGAACAAATTATCTTTGTGATAATAGTGGAAATGTTTTAAATCCATAATTGGTCACACTAAAAACAAGTAGTAAGCTTTCAGCAATGTGTATGTAAGATAGCCTGACTGCTCTGTGAAACTTCGAAGTGGTCAACATCATGTGATTACAAACTCTCACATTTACTTCTTTATATATACTTACTTTGGAGGAGATTCTGTAGTCATGTAAGGTTGATAAAGATAAATTAGTTAACATTAGGAAATAAGGACTAAACCTTCAGGTTGAAGGGATTTGTCTACAAGTTCCATTCATTTTCACTTGAGGGGAAAGTAGAATACTACTGTCTCTACCTGCATTATAATTACATTGAAACATTAGATAAGAAAAAATCGATAAATTCACACTGTATTGTGTTGAGATACCTCTTGCACATTTCAAGTTTGTTGTGTGAGTACTTTAGATAGGTACTTGAAATGGAAATTATTTATGGATGAGAGGGGACCAGTGGCATTCAGTTTTCTTACATGTTCTTAAACATTTGTGGATGAATGCCTAAATGCCTAAAATGTTAAAATCTTTGCTTTGTAGTATGTTTCTCAGATCACTCATTCACTTAAGATTTAAAGTACAGTACGTTCTCCCCTTGAAGGAAGGAGAATCCTTCAGAAACCAGTAACTAGCATCTGACTCTTCCTGCAATACTGAAATCAATTTACTAAAACATGCTGAATGGCATGGCTTCTTGTACAGGCTGCTGTTAAGTCATTTGCTATAAAAATAGTGTTTTACTATGCAAGTTGTGGAAACACGGAAGTACCATCAGTAAAATGAGTCTTCCTACAAAATCAACTGTGCTTCAAGTTTATGTTGCAAAAATTTGGTGATTTGAACTGAGAGAAGCGTACCTTCCATCATTGTAGCTGATATTACTGACTGCCTGTGTACTCAGATAATGTATGTTTAGTCGTATGACTTTTTTTTTTTTTGCAGAGGATGTGAGTTCATTTTCTTTGGTAATTCCTCACAGATGCTTCATGGGAAATTCTGTAGTTTTCACTGATAATGTAGAGATGGTTGCTGTTTGGTTGCCTTGTTGAAATATGGATCCAGTTTTGCAGTAGAGTGTTGGGACCTGAGGCACAGCTCTTTCTCCTTCCTGTGTCTGAGGCCTTATGTTCACTAGGCTTTTTGAATTTTGGAGAATATTAGTTCTCAGCTGCAAGAAGTAGTTTAAATCATAATTGCTTTGCCTATTCACAAAGGAACTGGAAGATGTATCATAGAATTGTTAGCTGCTTTATTTTTGAAGTGTCTTGGAAATGATGTGGATGCCTTTGTCTTTTGCTTAATGCAGTAAAGGAACAGACAGACTGAGAAAGTGCTCAACATGTGTTACTTGACTTACTGCTTTTTCAGAGAAATTCTTGGCTCTCTTACAGTCGTGTAGGATTGTTGAACAGAAAGCCTGTACAACCATGTGAAAACTGTAGTAGTTGAAAACTTACGGGTTATTTGCAGGTGCATTATTATACAGTCAGTTAAAAAGTTGTGTTGGAATATAAAAGGAAGAACATAGGTTCAGAGAGAATGCAGTACTTAGCAAATACCAAGTATGGAATATGTTAACGATGTATATGAAGGATAGTATTTTCTGTGTTTTATTTGCAAAGCGAGACCTAAAGTGCACATTGCCCCCCATTTAAAGAGATCTGATATTAACATAACAAAGTTGCACTCTTGTTCATGGGCTTCAAAAAATATTTGCATATTAAAAACTTTGGAAGTTGAAATAAATAGCTCTGAAGAAATCATTTCCTCGACAGCAGTACAAAAATGCTGGGAAATCTATGTATTGGAGCAGTTTGCTCAATACCCCGTTTTTCACTCCTGAAATATTTAATAATAGTGCTATATAACTGCCGATCAACATCATATATTTCTGAATGATCCTTGTATTTTGTATATTTCCTTGAAGACCAGAGGGATCATTTGTGAGTGATTTAACTTCTAGTCCATGATCACTTCAGTGAGGTTATATGAATGTTTTAATGAGGAGTGGAAGTAATAGAGAGTTTGATATTCTTGTTTTGTTCCTCCTCCCCAGTTGTCATTTCATTCCATTTCAACTTAAGTATGGAAAGATAGGCACTAATCAGATGTTATTGGTAAAAACTAAATGAAGATTTTAATTCCACATATGATGATTCTTGTGAACCTGTAACAATTTGAATTGCAGGTTTTTGTGTTTGTTTGTTTTTTCCCCTCAGGCCAATATGATGTGTTGTCACTACCTTCACAAAACTTATTTCTGATATTCTTTGTTTTGCCTGTTTAGGAATAATTGTATTAGTTACTGAACAAGCATTTCTGGTCTCAAGTGAATATAACCTTAATATGTGATGTGCAGACAAATAATAATAGATCCATAATATATTTATATCATGCTGGTTTTAAATCCACTCAGCATTTTAGTATTCAACTAAAAAATTTAAGACTGTATCCCGTGTTTTCAACTATTACATGTAAGTGGAAAGAAAATTAACTTTTGAGGGGTCAGGCAACAGCTTGTCTAGGCAGAATCTTAAATGCTTGATGGTATGAAGCCTGCACTTTGCCTTCAGGCTGTTTACTTCCCTGCACTTAAGGCCTTATCCAATTACCAGGGTAGTCAATTGAAAAACTTGCATTAGCTCTCTAAACTCTGGATCTTTTCTGTAGTATGTGTGGAATTCATAATATTAGTGTTTTCTTTGTTTTAGCAATAAGGGAACAGAAAGAAAATATACTGAAATAGTTTAGTAGTGAATGCATCTTAGATTTTAGTGTGTGTGCGTATAGTCTATATTTAGTAATTTGCAACTTCAGTGGCCACAGGTAACTGCATGATTCAGGGACTGAAGTGGACTACCATAACTAGAAAGCTTATAAAAAGGATTAAACATAGTTACTACCCATTTTTTAAAGGCTTAGTTACAGTATGGTATGATTTCCTGTCTCCAAGTTAGCTTTGTAGAAGGTAGTCTGAGAAGCTTCAATTATTGGGTACAGATATGAGAGTCACGTAAGTGATGCTTTAGTGTATCTGTTAAATAGGAAATCAGAATTGCATGTGAATCCAGCATGGCAGATTTGAGGGAATACTGACATTTCACTCAACTTCTGTATACTTAGAGGAATCTCTTTTGTATGTATTTATTTTGCAAGTTACTTCTTGGTTTATTGGTACGTTTTGTAAATGGTCCTTATATTTTTCTCTTAAGTGAAGCTTCTATGAAATGTTAAACTACAAAGTTTGTACATTCCTGTACAGCATGTGGGTGGTTGAGTGCAATGTTAAAATTTTGTAGTAGAGTCATTTGTAGCTTATTTTGAAGTGAAAGAAATTACATCATTTTGTTTTTCTTTCCTTGTAAGCAAAGTATGTTGATCGTAGCTATTGAGAATATGAGTAGCTTGTCCCTGATACCATATTGTTTTAGCTAGTGTAGGTTTTACATTTAAAGAAATCTAGTACATAAATATTTTTACTGGTTTATATAAATTCATCTACTACTTAAAATAAGTTGGAGATAATTATTTATATAATTCAGTAAAAATGTCTATAAACTGTTTCAGATAAGCTATGACATGTTAGATACTAGTTGATTATTGTGGCTAGTATGTAGGTTTGGGGGGGATCACTTCTAAAGACAATTTTAGTGAGATGTTTTCCTTTGTCTCTGTAGTTATCAGAGACTGTTACAGACGATTGCTGTACTCGAGGCTCAACGTACTCAAGCAGTTCAAGACCTTGAAAGTTTAGGCAGACACCAGAGAGAAGCACTGAAAGATCCTATTGGATTTGTGGAAAGACTCCAGAAGAAGGTATTTCGATGGGCATTTCTTAAGTCTTACTCAGATTTTTTTTTTAATAACTAGTAATTCATCATTTGTAGGTATCAGAATTCCATATATACTTGCATAGAAACATTAGGAGCTTGAAGTCCTTTCTCTGCTGAGCAGAAATGACCCTTGGGCTTATAAAATGTTTGAGAGACGTCTTCAAGTATTTTATTAGATATGTTTTCTTTCCATTGTTACATGGAAATGTAATTTTTAAACTTGTAACGTGGGTATTTTAAGACAACCTGAAATCTACAGGTGACTGCAAGTGCTTGGTTGTAAAGCCAGGAATTTGTAGTTTTTCTCATTAGAGCAATTAAATGACATTCTATGAATGAATTTGGTAGTGTACTTTTGAAAGAGTAGGAAATATCGGTCATTAAACCAAAATGGACATTAGAAAACATACCTGGAAGAGTGCTGGATAATGTAACTAAAATACTGTCTAATGAAGGAGAATGAATTTTGATAAAGAATGATTTTCTTTTCAAGCTTAAAATATGTAGTAACAGAGAAGCTTAAAAAAAAAAAAAAAAAGTATTTTATGATGCCCTTTCCCTAGCTTTATAGAGACCTTGGTTTAAAGAGAGGTGTGACCTAAGCCTATTGGTTTCAGTGGTTGTTTAGCCATTACATTTTGAGATGTGTTAATAACACGTAATAGGATTGCATTTGATAATCATTGTATCATATAGGAAATACTAATGCTAGTTGAAGGCATGTGGTACATTTATGTCTCTGAATCTAAGGAAGGATACTCTTAAGGTTGACCATAAAAAAAAGTTGTAAGGCTTGCATCAGTTGTGTTACAGTAAGAAGACAGGATAAACATTTTAAATAATGCTTTGATTTCCTTGAAGGGATGGGTTTGGGTTTCAGTTTATCAGATGATAAAACATTGTGTTTTCTTAACCTTAGGAAAGTTACAGGTAGTGGGCAAGCAGTATGTCTAAACAAAACAAAAGGCAAGTAGACAGCAACAAGAGTATTGAAATCAGAAACACCTGATTTCAGCTGTGAAACACAAATTTCAAAGCTTTGTGCTCAATAAGCCATCATTGACCGTGCCGCTGCATATTTTATATGCACTGTTGTGTATTACTCTTGAAAGAGATCTTCTCCTGAAAAAACCTTTGTGCTGCATGGCACTTTAAAAATGCTGATTTTGAATTTTGCTTTTAGTTGAAAGGCAGTTTTTCATAACTTTTTCATAACTTTCCAGGATCCATAGTTCTTTGTTGGGATATACAACAAGTACATTAAGTGTTGCTTATCACTTTTCACATTTTTTTTCAGGTCGATATGGGTCTTCCATATCCTCAGAGAGTTGTTCAGCTCCCTGAGATTTCCTGGGACCAATATACCACTAGCCTTGGAAACTTTGAGAGAGAGTTCAAAAACCGAAAACGTAACAGTAGGAGAGCAAAGCTGATTTTTGACAAAGGTAAAAGGAGAGTGAGTATATGTTACAAGAAGCAAAAGACCAGCATGGAGTTTCAATAATTCATTTCTTGTGTTGTTTGCAGTAGGTATACCTGCAAGACCAAAAAGTCCTTTGGATCCCAGGAAGGATGGAGAATCTGTTTCATACTCTGTCTTGCCTTTAAGTGATGGTCCAGAAGGCTCCACAAGCAGTCGTCCACAGGTAGTTGTCACAAAAGGAAAGATAAATTTTTTACAAAACAGTAAAATTTTCTAAATTATGGGGTATGTGGATAATTTTAACCATAAATTTAATCATTAAAATTGATCATAAAATTCATTCATGGATCAAATTGGAGATCCTATTTTTTGCTATAGAACAATTTTATTTCAAATTTTCATGCATGTATTTGTTTCAGTTTTGATTTTTACTTAGGAAAAGGATCAAAGTCAAGTTATCCTAGCTGTACATTTTCTAAACACCTGTTCCATTTTATGTACTATATTTGAGCAGATGATAAGAGGACGACTTTGCGATGAGACCAAACCTGAAACGTTTAACCAGCTGTGGACTGTAGAGGAACAGGTAATGGGAAACTCTTCCACTTCAGTAGCTGCAATAACATATGTGATAATAACAAACATTGTAATAATATTTACAGTAATTTAAGTTCAAGTCACATGTATGTAGATACCTGTCCAGTGACAACTTGTATCTCTACTAAGACAAAGGTGTTTTTTCTGTTGTTTGTGCTCAATTTAGAAAAAACTCGAGCAGTTGCTTCTGAAGTATCCACCAGAGGAAGTAGAGTCCCGACGGTGGCAGAAGATAGCTGATGAACTGGGAAATAGAACAGCAAAGCAGGTAACAAGTAAAATGCTTTAAGAAGTAATCCCTTCTGTTGATTATTTTTTAGCTTTTTAGGAAGCACTGATAAGAGATTTTTTTTTTTAACAGAAAATAAAAAATTAGAAATAAATCTAGGTACCATAAGTCATAAAATGAGAAATTGGAAAAGAGGTTTATTTTTGATAATGTTCATAATTAAATCAATAAAACCTATCTTGATAGAAAAAGATTTGACTTTATGCATTTTTTGAATATTCTAGTATGGTAGTACCAGTATCAGTCACTGTGTCCCAGCAGTTAGTATATAATTTCCCAGTAGTTCTAATTGTAGATCTCAATTTTTAAAACTGCAATACATAAAATTCAGTATCTTTTCAGTTAGCACTTTTTCTTAAAAATTTAACAGCAGAGCCTGCATTTCACTAATAACAACGTGAATCTTTTAATTTCAAATCAAGAATTTTAACAGTGCCCCAAAGCCCCTGACAAACTGCCAGACATAGTTGTTGTTCACTAGATTTTGACAGCATCCTTTTAATTCTTTATAGCAAGTATAGTGTGTGACACCATTTGTTCTCAGATTGAGTTACGCTGGAGTACTGAATTTCCTGCACCTCAATACTGTGAAATGGGCAGACATTTTAATACTTGCAGACAGAAGAATTAGCTTTGTACTGGGGCCTGTGTCCACAAAAGAAGTGGAGATACTGAATGTTTTTGACTTTTAGGGATTTTTCCACTGAAGCAGCATACTTTCTCCAGTTTGACCAGAAGTTATAAATAAATAAATATGCTGATGTTCTGTGTTTACAGAACTCTTATTTCTCCTATTTCACTAGTATGCTTTCGCGTAGAAGAATCCTTAAGTGTTTCACTTAATACAACAGTATCTCATCTCAGGTCATATCTAGGCTTACAGGTATATTTTTCCATAATGGGAAATTAAAATGCATGCTTCTGATATCATAAATAAAATGCAGAAGTACTTTCTGTATGGTAACTATACATATTTATCTGTTGCTGTTAAGAAAGAATACATTTAGCTTCAGCAGGTAACAAACTACTGAAGCTCTTTCCTTCCTGGTGGATTTCCTGTGTAATTTTTAAATGAGGGATTTTTTTTTTCTCTTAAAGTCTTCAAAATGTCTGGAAATATGATAATGAAGCATTGGAGGATAGGTAATATTTAATAGTTGTAATATTTAATATTTAATTAGTTGTTACAGAGTAGAAAATGACAATTTGTTGTCTTTATATTCTAAACCAATGTAATGATGCTGGCAAAGTTTTGAAGTGAAGGCCTGTTATATTTCATTTGACATTTAATTGTTGCTTGTTTTTTGTTTTTAGGTTGCCAGTAGAGTACAAAAATATTTTATTAAACTGACTAAAGCTGGTATTCCAGTTCCAGGAAGAACTCCAAATTTATATTTATATTCCAAAAAGGTGAGACAATATTACAACAGAAATTCCATTTTTCTTCTTGTATTTGTATGCAAATTGAAACTAAAATATTAATATTTCAGTGAACTTAAGTCTTGATTAAGTCTTGCATGTATTTCTTAATTAATCTATTTCTTTTGCTATTAATGTAGAGTGAGTTAGGAGTTAATCTAGTTTCACATCAACACCTGTTAATTACAGCTGTATTGCATAATCACACCAAGATGAAGTGTCAGGAAAGAGAATGCTGCAGTTAGAGTGCAGGCTGAACTAACAAGGCTGGAGCATTGGACTTAGGGGTACTTTTTCCTCATTTGTAAGTGTGTTGTCATTGATACAGAAGAGGCTAATGAGAACCCTATTGGAAGAGGATAAGGAGCCCTGTAGTTCATATTGTACAGTCATGTTTTAATTACCAAAAACATAGATGACTGTGTATAACAGCATACTTAACTAGCACATTAAATGAGCATTTAATTCTGAAATGTCATCTTTTATTTTGATTTGCAGTATATATGACTGTTAAAATGAAAAGGTCATATAAATGACGATTAAAATGTAATGTTTTTCCTGATCTTGGAATGGGTGAGAAAATATGACCTTGAGAAATCTTCTTAATTTGAAAAAGCACAGAGAAGACCCTAGACTGCTGTGCAGGCCAATCATGTATTTTGATGTAAATCATGTAGTATTCCTGGACACTAATGAGAACCCTAGACATTTGAAGAGGGAAATCTTAGCATGTTTTTTACGGTGTTTTTTTTTGTTAACAGTATATTTGCAGAAGTTGTTTAAAACCTGTTACAAACACATTTTGTAGAGTAACATTGATTTTTTTTTTTTTTTTTTTTTTGCATTGAGGTATCTGTGATGTTTTCTGATAAGGAATAGAGCAAGCCTTGCACTGATCCTGAAAATGCACATTTGCAAATTTAGTCCCTTGAAAGTTTGGGACCTAAAGTTACTGTCAGATAAGTCTGACAGGAGATCTACTAACGCTTGTCTGTAATGATGTAAAAGGGTACACACCCCCACTTGTCTACTAGTTTTCTCTGAAGTTACTGTAAAGAATGAGTATCACAGACCTTTCCATTTAACATGGTAATGCCATTTTACTTTCACCAGTATTTTAACCTACTATTCTGCTCTATAAACAGAGGCAGGGAAGGCACAGACATGATTATGTCTGCTGCTTTATCTATTGGAAAAGTGCTTTCTGGCAGAAGAACCCAAAAAGCAGCTGCAAACATTGATACCTTAAATATTGTGGTGAGATTTATCTAAACTCTACATTGCTTGTACAGTTTACCGTTCTGTGGGGCTAATTTTGAAAGAGATGTGGGGGGGTGAAAATTGTTTTTTGAAAATTATAACCCTTGGGGTTCTTTATGTCACCTTATAATTTTAAATGACCTTAGTCACATGTTAGTTGTTTTTCCTTTCCTCTTGATTTTATTTGGAAAGACTTATTATGGAGTGCAGGGCAGCAGACTACTGTATTTGCTGAATAATGGGAGCACTTCATCAGTACGTGTGTGACACTAACCATGTTGTTTTCCACTAATTTGAACAGTGATCCATAAAGTTCTATAGTCCTGCTGTTCTGCTTACATACACAGTATAATCAATACTAAAACATATTTTACACAATTTTCAACGTTTTCAAACTGCAATATATAGATTTTGAGATAAACTTATACATAGAACAAATGTAATGCTCATGTCTGTTTTCACAGTATAATTCGTACCCTTATTACCAAGTTGTAAGAGGAAGGTCATTGTCCCTGATTTTTATTAAGGTAGCTTCTCCGATTTTTCTTTGTAACCCACATAAAAAACAAACAAAAAAAATAAAACAGCATATTAAAAAAAATCAAACTAATAGTATATGTGGGGGGATTGAGGTCTTGGTCTGCTAATATAACTGTCTACTTAGAGCACTGATTGACAGCACCATACCAGCCTGTAGTTACTTCCAGGTCTCCAAAGGAGATAACATAATGTGGCAGAAAGGAAGTGCAAGCGGTACTGAAAGCCTGGATCCTGCTTATGCCGTACTCCTGTTTGTTTCAATACCGAGTGTGTGTATAAACTGTAAAGTGCACTATCTGGTTTACTGCCAATAATAGAAGTATAAATGCTGATACTTCAAGTATAAATTTTGGAGGAAATAAAAACCCAGTTATATGTAATGTAAATAATTGTGTCAAAAGTGATGCTTCACAAGGGGAAGGTACTTCTGTTTTTCTGTGGGGATTGCCTTGGCTGCTCTTTTGAAATGTTTCCTGGGTAGGTGAGAATGCTACTCAGTTCCTTAACATCTTGTTGAAGTTGCTGTGTGTATCTCCTCGTATGACATGATGTGTCTTGTGATAAATGGCACAGGAAATCAAGCACGATGCACCAGTTTATTTTCCTGTGCAATGTTATCAACTGTTGGTGAAAATAGAATCAGTGATTTAGGACTGTAGTAATCAATTCTTCAATTACGGCTTATTGGTTTCAGTTTTATGTTTGTATTCTATCAGTGCACCTGCCTTTAAGCTTAATCCACAAGATTAATTTCCCAAAGGAAAAATGATTTTAAACTATCTGCTCTTATGTAGTATTTTAGTTCATTCTTCACCACAAGCAGAATCATATTAAAAACAGAATTCAAATCCTCAGTTAAGTTTCTAGACTATAACTATATGCATAATACTGCAACTGTTAAAGCATAGATATGGTTTTCCTTTCTTGAATTCCAGATCTAGTACTGTATGCACAGCCTAACCTTACAAATGGAATTATTTTTCGTGGTATGACATTTTAAAGGAAACCAGAAAGGAAGCAAAACTCAGGAAGTTGGTGATTACGTGTATAAGGCAGAAGGTGGAAAAATTCAATGCAGCAGGCACTGTATTAGTGTTAGAACAAAATGGTCATTTTTATTCTGTGCATTGTGTGCTTACAGATACAAGGTACCAGCTTCCAATTGTCATTACTTCAGATCATTCCTTACAATGGGGCTAGTCTTAATTCCTTGTTATACTTGTCTGCATAGCTCCATTCCAGCTAATATAATTTATGGGATCTTTGCCTTTGCTTTTTAAACTGTGCAGAACTATAAAATAATGTTATGTATTGAATCCCAGTTTAGAGATAAATGGTTTTATTACAGTGCTACAGGTTTGTGACTGATTTTAGGAGCCTTTGGGATGAAGCATCTTCTATGAAAAAAGAAAGCATTAACTATTGTAAATATTCCTTATGCTTTGTCTACGTGACAGAACCTAGACAAGTCCTCTGTTTTATAATTAAAAGAAAATGTTTTCCATGCTTACAGTTTTTGATTTGCATTGTTTTCTTTAAATTGTGGAATGTATTTAAGATGTCAAAATGCTGGTCGGGAAAGGAGCTAAGTAAAAAGTTAAGTCAGTTTCATTCACCAATAGTTCTTCTACTTGATATTTAATATTCTTCCATGGGGATTAAGTAATGGGGGCTGAGTGCCTTTAAGTAATCCACTTTAAAATTGCTGTGCATTCTACACCTTCAGACAGCGTTAGATACACACTAATGGAGTAATTTATCTGTTTGAACATTTCTTAGATTCCTTTTCCAGTCAGTGGCAATGAAAAAGAACCTTCAGGGACAAATTCTTTCTCATAGAAACCTCTTTTGTGGTGGAATGAAAAGCCTTTAGCAATAGATTTTTCTTACCATAGACTAAGAAAGAAATCTGGACAAAATTAGCCTAGACTTGCATTTTCTAAGACACAAACTAATACAAGATGACGTGTCAAACATGGACTGATCTCCTGGGTCTAGGATGTGTGCAAAAGTACTTCTTTGGTTAGTCCCAAACAAGAGCCATCCCTTCAGCCTTGGAAGTCTTTAATACCTTTGCACTTTGGTTCTCAGTCTTTAAAATTGTATGTTTTATTTCATTTTTTATTTTTTTTTTTTTACTGTTGTGTCTCATTAATTTAGATGCTGGGCTTTTTATAGTGAGAGCACTTTCTTGCTGGGTTTTTAACAGAGAAGTGTCTGATTTCACTTACTGGGGAAAAAAGCTCCACAATATGAAACTATATGAGGCTCCAATATAGAGGTTTAAGTAAAAATAATGGGGAAGATGATACATGTTCAGTGCAAAAGTGATTTTTCTGACAAGGTTGTATTGATGAGGATTACTTAAATGGTAATCAAGCAATTTTTTTTATAAATATATTATCTTTCCACTGTAGTCATCAAGTAGACGGCAGCACCCTTTAAATAAACATCTTTTCAAACCTTCAACTTTCATGACATCTCATGAACCCCCAGTTTATATGGATGAAGATGATGACAGATCCAGTTTTCACAGTCATATGGATACTGCAGCAGAAGAGGAAGTATCGGTATGTCATTTAAATCAGTAAGCAAATGTATTCCTTATTGTCATCTTAACTTGTTTATTGAATAATATGAGGATGAAGCATCTTTGTCATAAAACAAATATCATCAATTAAGTACTAAATTATGGTCAGATTCATGAGTCATTTTGAATTGCAAACACATCGTTAATATAAAGGTCCACAGTTCCAGAAAAAATAGACCAAAAAGATAGGAAGTAAATGAAGTAGTAAAAATTTCTGTCCTGAAACAACTTCTAAAATGTTTAGTTTTACGTATTTTCAAAAAGTGATCTGATGTTACTTATTTTTAATGTTATTTATTTTTTATATTATAAGTGATCTCATTTTTAAAACTGTACAAACTACCCAGGCATGATTCTAGGTAAAGATGTGTGGTATTAGACAGGTTGCGTAGTGTCTTGGTAAAGCTTGAGTTCCACTGGCATCATTGCTTTTTTGTCTTCCTTCACTGACTGAATTAATTTTTTTTTTTCAATCTGCTTGAAAACATGAGCTAACAGACTTAGTCCTGAAGTGGCAAATATGTGCTTTTAGAGGCAAATTCCAGTAGATGTCTTGTCCCAATGTGTCATTACAACGTGTGGTGTTCCAGTTTCCTAATGTATCACATACAGTAATACTACAATGGTTTAGACACTTTTTACAACCATATGGGGGACTGTAGTGCCTATGTATTAGGGATCTTAATGAGAAGATGTTTGACAAGGCTCACAGCTGGTGTGAATCACTGTGGCTTTACTGTGTTTAGACTGAAGGAGCTGACCTGTTAATTTTATGTATTGTTTTGGAGAGCCTAGTGACATCGTGTGTGTGAAAAGCTTGTTGCATAACAGGGGCATTAAGGCCGCCCAGTTGAAGTCAATTCATTTGCTTTATCGACTTTTTTCACATGCACTGCATAATCTTCCTGAAATTATGACGTTTGCTCATTTATAACCCAGTCTTAAATCACATTTTCACTCATTCTGTCTCTCAGTGATGATCTTTTTTCATGTCCAGGCATTTCTGATAATTTATTTATTCCTAATAAGAATCCTAAAAGGTGTGGAAAGAAAAATGTGTATTAGAAGAGATGCCAATTACTGTTACGTATTTTAATGGAGCTGTTTTTGATCACACATTCCTTTGTTCTGTATTATTCTTAAATACATATTCTGTTCTTAATATTTTCCTAAAACGTTCTAAACACTTTTTTTCCCCATGGTGTCCTAACTTTAGTAAATATGAGGACCATAAACCAACTGGGATTTATTTTTATTTTGGTAGAAGTTGCTGTTTTTTTGCAGTGATAATGGTGGACTTGTGCCCTTTTTTTTTTTTTTTTTTTTTAATTTGGCTTAATCTTTTCTTTCTTCACTAGTGCAGCATTTCCAGATGGATATATTTCTGGCTTGCAGTAATGTAGAAAGACACAGGTGAGCTCAGTTACAAAAAAGATCCCCATTATCAATGCAAAATAGAAACAATTGGGAAAGAAAAAGAGATCGTGAACTATAATCAAAATAAATATACTGGAGTCTGTTCTAATGTTAAAAATCAGATCTCTTAGTTACAGTCAGTGTCTCAGAGAAAAATACTTTATATATTTGGTGTAGCAAGAAAATTATAGGCAAGGTTTTCTTTGATTTCTTTACAATGGAAGTACCAGGTGCTGTTTCCTTGTAGAATAAAAGATTATGTCTGGGTATTGCAAGTTGACTGGCATAACCATTCTTCAAAAAATTGTTGTGGTATAGATTAATTATTTCTAAGTGAAGACCTTCTATTCTCAAAAGAGTGAATTTATTTTTCAGTTACAATTACTTCATTTTGTGAGTAGTCTAATTATTCTAGAACAATTTACAAGAACAGAATAAATTATTATAGGATTATTATACCATATTTTATTCAATATATAGTTATATTGTTCCAGGTAGGTTTTTCTCAGAAGAACTTAGATTTGCATAGAATGTGAATCCCTGTTTTATATGAAAAGAACATAGCTTATTACCACAGAATTTGCGTCATTTGATCTTGTTTGTTTTTTTTTTTCTGAATATTTGCAGTCTAGTCCACAAAATAGTTTCAGAATTACAATTAAATAATTGATACAACCTTTAGAAATTTAGTGCTAAAGAGCATGCCATTTTCCCTCCCTTCCTTTAGTAAACTTACTAAATATATCGCACATTGCTCAAACTTCGCAGTTTCTTAAAAAGAAGAATAATTGAAAGGATGTGTGCAGGCTACGTTTGAAGACTTATTACTGTCTCGTAGCTCTTTTTCATAACTGAACATTCCTACTAGCATAGGATCCGAAAACCATTGTAAATCCACAAAGACAGCTGCTACAATTAAATAGCCATCTTAAAGTAGACATTTGAATTAGAATGAGAGCTTCTCTGTTCTCATAATATACGGGTCTTCAACCTTTGCTGAAGAAAATTGGATGAGAAAAATCAGAATGGTGTGTTTTTTATTTAAAAAGAGAACCATGTGTTATGATTTTTGGGGGTACAGTTATATGCACCAGCCTATAGGGATATGGACTTTTTCATAATTTAGGAAGCGAAGCAATCTATTTTCTTAAGCTATTAAGACAACATGAAATGAATGGAAGGAGGAGTGAGCATTATGTGAGATGAAATAACCCTGTAACTTTCTACTTTTACAGTCATGGAATGATATTTCTCATAACTTTTTATTCTTACAGGTAAAGGTGAGAATCTAATCTGTTAAAGATTGTTTTCAGTTAAAAAGTATGTAGTACGTATAATGAAAGCTTGGTACTGTCTTGATTTATGGGTCTTTCAAACACATGGCTTGATGCAAAAATTCTTAAAACTGTGAAGAATTTTTGGGTGTCATCAGCTTTTTAAATTCTTACAATTTTGAAATTACTTCTGAACAGTGATCACAACTGGCCTTGAATAATACTGCTCCATGCTATTCCATAGAATAGCAAAGAGGAAGATCAATGAAGTTGATAAAACCTACCTGAAATTTTAATGCTCAGATTTAGTCTTTACTGCAGTTGCCATTTTGCCTACAGTATATGAGAAAGTGGATTACATACAAATTGCAGTAAAGCATCAAAGATGAGAGAAAAGCTAGGTTTTAAGGGAAAGGTCTGCTGTCTCCTTTATCCTACTGCTAAGCAGTTCACCAGAAGAAACTTATTTTCAGGGTAATATTTTGGTATAATGCAAATAGTAAAGAATATTTAGTTAAAATAATGTAAGTTAGTTTTATGTACTTTTTTTTTGCAATGGTTTTAAAAATTTCCCATTATGTTTCTTCAAATATATTGCCAGCCTTTTCCCAGAAGTTAATTATACTTACTGATTTGTGAAATACGTAGGTACATTCCTAAAGAATATTTATTTTTTTTTAACCATGAACAGGATGAAGAGAGTATTCCAATAATGTATCGTGATTTACCTGAATATAAAGAACTGTTAGAGTTTAAAAAGTTAAAGAAACAGAAACTACAGCAGATACATGCAGAAAGTGGATTTGTACAGCATGTGGGATTTAAGGTAAGTTTAGGTGATGTTCTCTTACTCAGCGGAGTGTAGAAGTCTTTAAAGATAACATGGTTTAGATTTCCTAAAAAGGCTTTGTTTAGTATAACAAGGATGGTTCCGTAATTCTTTTTCGCTGTGTCTGCTTTCCCTCATCTTCTTTAATCAAAACAACTCAGTTAATTCACTCTTTCCAATGCCTCAGGTTTCATAGAATACGTGGAATATTGTATGGAAATTAATAAGCATGCTTTCTTTTCCTCATTCATAGTATGGAAATATGGCTCTAGAGCTGGGTTAAATCACTACAGAAATCCATTTGGCAATGGTTCACTGATGATAATTCTCTTACGATTTTGGAGTCATTTTTCCTCCACCTTAGACCAAAGAAAAGAAAAAGATATGGAGTGAGAAGCAGAAAAACAATTTTTTGATTTTTTTTCCTCTACAGAGAAAAACAGTAGCAGCTTCATAATCCTATCACAGAAGTTGAAGCGACAATATGAAACAATGATTATGTGAAAAATAATATAATAAACAATGAGTTAAAATAATGTGTTATTCTAATGTCAGCCATTAATAAATGATATGAAAGATAGGGCATTCTCAAAATTACATTTTCTGGTTTGCAAGGAGATTTGCTTTATAACTGTTTGCTGTGTTGGAACAACTTCTTCACCTTGTTAGAAGTATTAGGCAAGTAGATTTATTTTCTGATAACCATTTATATAAGAATGCAAAGGTATTCAGTTTAAAGTTCAGTTCAGAACAACGGGAAAATTGAGATAGTCTCATTTGTTGGCACTGAGAGACTTAATCGTGTTGTTAGACTTCCAAGGCTTCTTTTTTTTTCCCTCCTTTTTTTTTTTTTTTCCTTTTTTCTTCAAGTTACTGGTTTTGTTCCAAGAAAAAAATGAAAAATTCAGTCAGTCAGACAGGCCTTCTAGGTTAGAAACTAGTTACTTTCTTCTACATAAAATTACACTGAAAAGTACATTTGGCATTGTGCAGTGTCAGGCATTCAAAGTTTGAAAGTTTCTTTGCAACCCCAATTTGATTTTATTATTCATTTTTATCTATGAAATTACGTGATTATATACTGCTTTTCCTCAGGAGTGCAGCCTCACTCAGTGCACAGGCTGGATGGTGCTCACCTAACAAGCAACTATTCAGAACGCTTATGGTTCTGCATGACCTTCAACCTCATTTACACTTTATTCAAACTCTGCTTTGAATATTGAATTATTGAATCCCATTTTGGCTTTTTATGGCTTTTATTGCTATAATGTCAGAATACTTTGCAAATACTATTTTCTTGAATAAAATGAAAGGCATGCTATTATTCCTCTTACAGGGGAGAGGGAAGCTGGCGCACAGAAATCCAGGTTAAGGGTTTCCACTATCTTTTGGCTCTCAACTTGAGATAACTGGAACTGATTTTTAATTGTAACTTATTATTGTATTGAACTTGATACTCTCAGAGAAAAGCCCTGAGTATGCCTATTACTTACTTATTACCAGCCCTCAAACTCTGAAAGCTGTCATTGTCACAGCTGTATCCCTTACTTCTATGGAGTTGTTTGTGAGTTTTTTGTAACCTCAGGTGATTTAGTTGTGCTCAGGCGAGTTGCTGTGCAAGTGACTTTCACAGATGACACCCAAAGTTCTCCCACAGCACTTCGTGTCCTGAAGGAGGATGAGCTATGTGAGCACAGGCTCGTTTTCCATGTTTCTCTTTCCTTTTCTGTCCTATCTCTGCAGCGCTGTTGATGGTTTAGATTTTTGCAAGTCCCATTCTACAAGTTTCATTTTTTACTGAATCTCTGTGCAACTCTATTCTTCCTCTTTATCATCATGAATTTTTCATTCAGTCTTGCTGATTCATTTGTAGTTTTTTTTCTCTTCATGCCACATTCTTCTTGCACTTCGATGCTCTTTAAGATGTACGATTCTTCTGAGGAGAATAGTTCTTTCCTTCTCACTTGGCTTAAGATTTGGGCTTCTGTTTCCTTATCCAAACCCGTTGTCCCACTTCCTTTCCAACCAACTTGGCTTTTAGTTCCAGCCCACCTATAATGTGTAACTATAGTATTTGAAAGTGCCTCGGTCTGACCTTTGTGTCCCTACCTACAACATGTCAACAGCCCCCCAACAAACTCCTAGTGGTAAAGTTTTGCTGCTGTCTTCTGTCCTGGCGAGTGAGTCTGTATTAAGACATTACACATGGTTGGGCTTAAGCTATAGAAACATCTTTCAGCTGTGTGAGGATAATCCGTGACCGCAGGCAGGACTAGGCCTGCTTTTGTTGAACAGGAGGTTAATGTCACAGTAGAGCACTGGAGTAGTGGGAAGCAAAACGAGAGAGATTAATCAGTCCTCAGAACTCTGGAGGGCCTGTCCTGGAGTCTGAGGACTTCTTTATCTCAGATACATTATGGGTGGTGAGGAGAAGAATTCAGCTGTGCTAGCAGTAATCAACATATGATTCTGTGTCTTTATATATGGCATGTTGGTGCCATAAATACTCACACTGTTACTAATGTAAGTGATTACAGTTGTTTTTTTTCCACTGTTCTTCAATCTGCTTCACAGTGTGATAACTGCGGGATTGAACCTATTCAGGGTGTTCGGTGGCACTGCCAAGACTGCCCTCAAGAAATGTCCTTGGATTTCTGTGACTCTTGTTCTGACTGGTGAGCAGCATATGCTTCTATTTGGTATTTGTAATTACCGTGAGTATATCAATGTGGTATTATTGCTGTGTATACCTGCTCCAGCACAGGATACATCTCCTGTGTTGGGTGAAGTGAAAGATACTTAAACATATATTCATGGGAGATGTACATCTAGAACATGCTTGCAAAATACATACAATAATAATACAGAGGACAGATTAGGTTTACTACTGTTAAATAGTTGGGGGGAAATTGTTTTTTGTACAATAATTGTTCAGTATCAGATTTGGTATGACTCTTAATATGATCATTGAAAGCTGTTTATGAAAGTTAAGAAAAATATTTGACTTTTAAACTGTTATCTTTTTCTTTCCCTTGCAGTCTGCATGAAACAGAGATTCATAAGGAGGATCATCAGTTAGAACCTATTTACAGAGCAGAGACATTTTTAGACAGAGACTACTGCATGTCCCAGGGCACCAGTTACAATTACCTTGACCCAAACTACTTTCCAGCAAATAGATGACATGGGAAGCAGATCTACAATCTTGGGCTTACTATCCTATTTGAAAAATAACAATGGCACCATTGTTAATTCTGTGCACATTTTGGAAAGACTCTCTGCTTTCCCTGAAATGTCGCTCACAGCATGACAGCTTCCTGGGTGTACTTGTCAAACTACAGCTTTGAGCTGTCATGGTTCTAGATCACTGAACAGCAGCTGAACATTCCTAGTGTGCAGAAGGTTTCACTGGGAGACTTTTTCACCACATTAGTCATTTTTAGGTGGTGAATTTAAACACAAAAGAAAAACATACAAAAGGGTGAGCCAGAAATGAGAGCACACATTAAAGACAGAGTAAATTCCAAAGGCTTTGAAGAACTTGGTTATAATGAGATCCAGAGGAGATGAAGTATTTATATAAAAACAGTTTAGTAGCTTGCAGTTTTGTTGTGAAATAGTTTTCAGCACAGTAACTGACTTTAGGCAAGGTTTTAACCAATGACAGTGTTTGCTTCTAGGATATACTCTAAAAAATACTCACTGTCTCAGCAATGGTTGGTTACAGGCCTTTATTAAATCGGAGCTGCTTAATCACATTGACTTTCAATTTTTTTAATTTTTTTTAATTTTTTTTTAAAAACCACGATGAACTCTATTTACCAACAGTGAAGCACTACAGGAGGCAACTGTGGCATTGCTTCCTTAACCAGCTCATGGTGTGTGAATGTTATAAAATTGTCACTCAGATATATTTTTTAAATGTAATGTTATATAAGATGATCATGTGATGTGTACAAAATATGGTGAAAAGTGCCAGTGGTAGTAACTGTGTAAAGTCTCTAATACTCAACATTAACTCCTTTAAAATAAAATACACAGCCTTCTGCCTCTGTATTTGGAGTTGTTAGTGCAACTCATCAAAGAAAACTGCCTAATATAAATCATATATATGGTAATAATTTTTCCTCTTTTGTAGTCTGCACAAGATCCATGAAAGATTGTATTTTTATTACTATTTAAACAGTGATTAAATTTAGCCTGAGCAGTGAGCAAGGGTTCACATGCATTCTTTTATACTGCTGGATTTTGTTGTGCATCATTTAAAACATTTTGTATGTTTCTTCTTATCTGTGTATACAGTATGTTCTTAAATAATGTTCAATTGTCAGGAGAACTGTGAGAAATAAACTATGTGGATACAGTCTGTTTATATATAGAATGCTTGCTGTGACTTCCTTTCTGTGTAGTTTTGACTTTTTAATCAAAATGGAAAACATTAAAGGGCATTTTAATATGTCATACAGATACTCACTATGCAGACCTGCAAGATGCCCAGCGCCTTCCTCGGCTGTTAATATCAGTGGGAGCTGATGGCGCTCTGCACCTACGTAAATATGCTTCGCCTTTGCAGGATTGGCATTTCGGTTTTCTTGTATCTTATTCATAAATTGTTCTTTTCCAGATTTCAGGAAAATCAGACTTTAGTAGCTTTGGTACACTGTATGTCATTGTCTGAGAAGCTTTGTAATTATTGTGACATATTTTTAGTTAATATATTTTTTATTGAAATGTATAGCTTGTGATTCAGAAACACTTGATTATTTTATAACTGTAGTAGACTTCCAGTTGCTTGAAAACTTGAACATTCAAGAGTAATTAGCTATAAAAGAAAGTAATTTGACTTTAAAAGTAAATAAATATGGCAATAAGAAGGGCTGGCTGCACCTAATAACCTAATTATAGCCTGATGAGTATTAATTTTCACAATAACACTTAGGTGTAGTCATTTTTTGCTTCAGAGAAAAGCAAGTTTAAGCATCTAATCTATTTAGAAGGTAATAGAGTACAGTTACTAGAACACTGAGCAAGTATCATGTAAACCTATCTCGCATATCTTGTATACTTGGATAAATTAAATCAAACCTAGGAAAATACAACAAAAATTCACAAGGCATACTTCAGTTCTCCCTTTAATTCAGAAAGATACTGCTCTGACAGGATCTAGTGAAAGAGTATGAAAGACCATTTGTGCTGTTTATGAGAAGGCAGAGTTGGTGAAGATGTGTAATCAGGGAGAGAAGCTGTAGTAAACTGTCTGTGTTCTGTTGATATCCTAAAGAAAAAAGGAAATAATGGAAGTACATTAGTGAAAATATGATTAAAAGCAAATACTCAGTCATCCATTTAGGATAGCTTGAGAAGAAAAATATATATGTAATTTGAATGACATTGGAAGCAGAATGAGAATTTCAAATCTGAATCACCTAAGAAAGAAATGTCTTGAATAAATCCTTTTGTTAATTGAATGCATATAAATATTTATATGTCCATATGCATGCATATACAGATATTTCTCTTGCATATATTATGAACATATGCAAACAGATATCTAATGCACATATACCCAGACAAGCATGGGATTTTTTTGTTCCACAAAAAGGACCAGAAAAATCAGGAACTTTGAACTGAAACTGTATGTTGAATAATTTTTGTATTTTTTTAAGGTAGCAGCTGATTTTTGTCTTTATTCCCATCCTGACAAGTGTGATGTTCCACACTTTTTCCACATTTTTTAACCTATTTGTAATTAGTTGTAATAAAAAAAAATACTCCAAAAAGCAAGCCAGATGAATTTGGAACTTCATAGTAACTCGAGATTTTTATTTTTATTTTTATTTTTTTTAAATACTATACAATACAGCTGCTACTGCTTGCAGGCTTGGTTTAGAAAAAAACCTACCTTTTCAAGCTCATACGTTACAAAAGTCTCTTGCTTAAAGCTGTTGTACTGCAGATGTTGCTGATCATGTAATGCCACTATTCTGGAGCTGGAAAAGCACTTCCTAGAGCATCAGAGGTAAATGTAGTCTGTAAAAGGACCGAGGGAAGGAGGAACATCCAGGATGTGATATCTAAAATACTCCCTTAACAAAATAATTGAATTAGCATTTACAGGGCAAATGCTATGGAAGAGAAAGAAAACAGAAGAGTCTGCCCTGAGTGGAAAAAGGACATACTTTGTAAGCATGCTGATTTGAACTATATGTCCAAGTCATGTACTGTGCTTTAAAAAGGATTAAACCCACATAAATTGTAACAGAAATTATTACTCCTCATTTTTGTATGTTTTATTTGTATTATGTCCTCATTACAAGAAAGGTAACTTTAAAAATACAAATCTGCTGCATCAAGTGCAACTTTAACAGAAAGAGCAATCATGCAACCCACTTCAACTGAATTTATCCAGTAGTTCCAGTAAGAGGATGCAATTTTATAGGAATGTCAAACAAGCTTTTATTTAGTTGTCAGTAAACCAAAGAACCTCCACAATATTTTTGTTAACTTAATGGAAATATGATATGATTTTTACAGACTTGTTTTCAGATGTTATGGATGTTGTGGCCTACTGAAGATGCAAGCAAATATTGGGTTATTTTAATCCCTGGCTCATGGTTAACTTTATATGTAGATTTTAGCTGATATAGTAAAACTGATGTTAATGTGGATAATTATCAAATTGCACATGTAACTGCACTATACAATCATTATTTTCACCTTAGTCCACAAAACTGGGAAGTCATCATTTATAATACCCAGCACTTTCCAGCAGAAGACAGCTGTTTCAAAAATGGTGTCTGCTCTGAGACAAGTCAGACCTCACAGGACTGACAGACTTCCACAGTATTCAGCTGTGTCTTTGCTTTCAATTATTTTTTGTGTTGTAGCTGTGTTCTGGGGATGTCTGCAAAATTGTATTTTAACTTTTAGCTTTACTAATTCTAGCTGTCTTACAGCTGCATGTAACAAGAGATTTTAGTCACTAAGAAAAAAAAAAAAAAAAAAAAACAAAAACCAAGCTAAGTGATACCCCAACTATTAATACTGTTAATTAAAAATCAATGGGACAATTGCAGTGTTCTTAATATGCTGTACAGTGAATGGTGTGGTTGAAGAGCTCACTGCTGACCAGGCAATGTGTCTGACTTCCAATCAAATATATAAGATCATGAAATACAAACTAGAGCTGCTGTTCACCATGCTGCTTGTAGCCCGTGAAGAGCAAACAACCACTAAAACAACATACAGTTCTTAGTGTGGAGTTAGCATACAGGACACTCTATATTGAGTGTATTGTCTGAACAGAGAAAAAAATCATCTGAAATAACATACCACATGCACAAATTCCAGATACCTCTCAAGAAAGCAGTATTGCTTTGAACAGCATTTTATTCATGACTGCCAAGTGCACGTGTGAGGTGAAGCTGTGTACAGACCGTTACTGCATTACTGCTGAAAACGCTGCTGCTTCGTTTTTCAGAAAAGAGTCAATTGACTTGCAGACTTCCAGAAAAACATCCTCTGGTGTTGCTTCTGCATCAACCTGTGAAGGAAAACAAAAGTAGTTCTGATTAAATTATAAATAATTATCTTTAAAATATCAATGATGGCACAGAAAAGGGGTCCAGTATAAAAGAGAAGTTCTGTTTCATGTTACAAGCATCCCAATAAAATGAAGAGGCGTCCATAAAAGTTATTCACTGTTTCCAGAGATTTATGTGGAAAAGTCTGAAGGTTTCATTGTCTGGAGCAAAGCACGTTGATCAAATGAGGAAGATCGAGCTCTTTATCCGAAGTACTTGTACTTTAAAGTAAAATTATACCCTTGATATACAGACAAGTTTCAAGGATTTGCAGAAACTATTTCAATGTTTACCTGAAAAAAAAAAAAAAAAAAAAAAAAAAAAAAGCTCTGATGCCCTACCCTTAATGAAATGAAAGAATGATTTGATGATTTGTTAATTTGTTTTCTGTCATCTAAAGTCAGCGGATGCAATGCTCTGACCTAAATGCTTCCAAATGACAGTGAAAGCAGGGTTGTGTGTTTCTGAGTATTTCCATTTTCAAGATTGGTGAATCAGTTCTGGTTTTCTTACAACCTATGGGCAAGGTGTGTTTTACAGCAGCCCTGCTTTTGTTGTATGACCACTCGCTTTCAGGGACGGTTTTTTGTTTCTTTAATAACACAAAGTTTCTGTTTTGGCTAGAGGTTGTCCAGGCTGTTCAAGTTTTTTTTTTTCTTTTTTTGTGAATCGACTTCAACAAGAACAAGACCAAACTGTTCCAAGAAAGAGATTGCTGCCTTGTAGTGATTGGCAACAACATTTGCAGCCAGTAATGTTTCTGTTACCTAGAAAATGTAATGTACTGACAAGTTTCTTTCAACAATGAGTTGCATGTCCAACCCATGCAGGTAATTACTTCAGGAAGGAGAGCTTTCTGTTGTCTTCACAGTAGTTGCAGAAGCTTTCATGCTGGCTGTGTACACCTGCAGACTGCACCTGCCGGTCATTCAGTTCCTCAAATGCCCTGGTGAGAGTCTTCAGATTCTCTACTCAAAAGCAAGCTTCTTCTCTGCTTCTTTCTCAATGCTTCCTCTTTCATGCATGCATGACATCAAGTTTGTACACATTCTAGTCAGACCCATGACAACTTTCCTAAAGCCTGTGTTTCTGAACTACACACTGCATTTTCAACTCCAAGATGATGACTAGGACACCAGACAATTGTAGTGTTTGAAGGGGATATTCCTGACAATTGCACCTTTCTGCCACCAATTTGTTCTGTAGAAGGAAAGGAATTTCAGTCCCCTGCCCCTCCCCAAATATATTTTTGAAATAGGCAATGAAATCCCCTCAGACGCACTTGCTTGCAGCCAGCTCCTGTAGAGCCTGACTGCACTCAACGCACATTTAAGTCCCTCAGTGCTAAGTCTTGTGTGAAAGTCAGCAGCTGCTCCTTGCAGAGAGCCAGCGAGGGATCACATTTGTGCTCCAGAGCTTCGTTTCACTCTTGGTGGCAGCCACAGATGCTGCGAAGTTTGGTCCCTTGTCACATCCCATCAGACATGCTGGCAGATCCAGGCGGGCTAGCCCCAAACTCAGCAGTTCCAGCTCTGGAAACAACACAGCACCAGTCTGGCCAACCTTTAATAAGCCTGACAGGGTCTGGTCCCCTTGGACTCACAGCAAGGGGGTCTTACAGTCTGAGCCACCCAGGCCCATTCTGGCGATCTTTCAGAAGCACGATTCTGTTGCTGCCATTGCAGCTTTGTTAGGAAAGTTTTTGATGGAGCAGGTGGTGCCTTAGAAAGGTCAGGTCACAAAGAAGGGCTGCATGCCATTCACAATCCCTCTATGGCACAGAAGCAAAGGGCTT